CCAATAGAGTTGTATGCAGCGAAATAGTATTAATTATTATTCCTTACTATAGTGAAAAGTAACTAATTAATTTTGTTAGATACACCAACTGTAACTAACACATTTCAAGAATGTGTAGTGAATTCATGCATATACTGAGAAACACTCAGGGGGTCTTTCGGCTAGCTCCACAAGATGGTGGGATAGCCGGTCTGGGTTCGAAGTCTCACCCCTTCTAATTAATTGATATTAGGTCCTTTCCTACTATATATTCACTTTTTTTTAATTCATGCATATACTGTACTGGAGGTAATTCTAATTGAAGTGAGCAACTAATGCAATACTAGCATTTTACTGTAAAGTGCAAACCTGATTAGAAGCTAAGCTAGTGAGGGAAGTTGTTAATGCGCAATCTGATGATCGCAGCAGAAAGATAAGAGCACGGTATGGATAAGAAAGGAAAGAAAGAGAGTTGGTACCGAATTGAATTCCGATGTGGTCCGTCCTTGTACTCCCTCCTCTCCTCTGCATCGATCGATGGATCTCCCTGAGCTTGTCCGGCGGAGGGGATGAGGATGGGCCACCAAACTTGGGCCTTGGTTTGCGGTTAGAATGGTTGGGCTAATTTAGGCCTGGAAAGAGCTGAGGTTTGTGGGTCTAAAATAATTCATGGGCCAAAACGGAAAGATAATTTGTCTCTATATCCAACTTTAGTTAAATTAATTTACACAGCACCAACAACCTTTTCAACTTAATTTCTCATGGAATTGGTTGTCCTTGTCTGCTGCTTGGAGTGTACTCCAGTCCAGTATGCAATTCAGGCTCGCTAAGTGCTGGACCTCGTACATCTTTTGCTTTAACACCAGCACACCGAACCAAACTAATCAAATGATATCACGACGATTTGCTTCGTAACTTCAACAATTAATGATCTGTGCTAATTAACTACATCCACAAAATTAAGTTGTGCCTTTTGAATGCAACAGTGTCGCATGCATAGACACATACGTACTCTGCCAGCTGCGTGCAAACTGATCGAATGTGTGTGTGGAACATACTCCTCCACTCCACTGTAGTAATCCAGTATACTCCACTTAGTAGCGAGGGACATATATATCACATGCTAATTAAGCAATGAGTTAGTTTGTATAGCGCTCGATCCATATCCATTCGATCAGTCTAGTACAGTTAACAATTAATTAAAGAGCACGTAAACACGCGGAACGGAATGATGGCTTAGAAGACCAATCGATCGCGACTTAGTTTCGGTCATTTAATTTATGGTAGCTACTACGTACCCTAACCACCTAGCAAGCCATATATACCAGCTAATCTTGTATGGAGTACTAGCTAACTCTCTCAGTCATCACCACTAGTCGATCTACAGGACAGCAACTAACTGTTAGAAAACGATAAAGCGAACAAACGATAAAAAACAATAGATCAATCACAGAAGACACAAGATTTAACGTAGAAAACCCTTTTAAAACAGGAGAGAAAAAAACCACGAGCGCCAGCCAGCAAAATATCTTCACTATATCTGGAGTGAGGTTACATCGCCGTACGACGGCTTACAAGAGGTATATATCTGGTAGAACCCTAAAAGGGATGACGATCTGTTCTTCGCGGCCCCCGCACCCCCGGGCATCCCAGGTAGCCTTTATTAAGTGCAAATAAATTTGGATCACAACTCAACAGTAACAGTCTAGCTAACATAACACAACACGCAGCTCTGCATGCCTTCCTGCGACAATTGAGCGAGGCAGAGTTCTCTCCCTTTCCTTTACCAAGCTAGGTATCGGACGGAGCTCAACGTACGAGAATAATATTGGTGGTGGATTGAGAGCGAGCTCAAGAATGATCGATGGCTGTGTGGGAGCTCGATAGATGATGGTGCTTAATTCCCAGTTGACGTACGGTTGGATCTATATATAGCACCGACCAAGCGTGAGGAGGAGCTACAGCCTACAGGCCAGGGACACAGCAGGCTGCCACACATGAGCTCGCCGGTGATGGCCACAAAGCTAAGGAGAGGGAGAGACAGAAAGAGAAAAAAAGATGAAATCCAGATCGAGGGGTATTTTGATCGGCTCGCGCGCTAAGAAAAAGAAATGCAAAAATTCATTTAATGATCAAGAAGAAACGGTGTTGTAACGTGTTGACGCCCTTCTTATAATAATGAAGTTTTAACGAAACCCGGCCTATCTGTGAGATGGCGTTTCAGCAAACCTCACTTTTAACAATATATATATAGCAGAATATACCAATTATTTTCTCCTTTCATTTCGATTAGGATTGCAGGTGAATTAATTGGTGATCGAATGCAATATCTCGATCATACGGATGGACGGTTGCTGTGTGCGCTAGCTAGCTGTGCACAGACCACAGTACAGGCAGGCGGGCAGATACTAGACAGACAGGCAATTTTGGTTATGGTTTTCCGCCGATCGAATCAAATTAAACCACCTTATATAATTTCCTCGTTTAATTTCATGTGCAATAGTATACTAGTAGGCCGATCGACTGAATATATTCAACGGAGTGAGTACTTATTTCATTTATAAAGTGAGGAAGAAATTAAAAGAAGGAGAGGTACTCCAGCGGCCAGCGAGCAACTGTATCTCCGGTGCTGCACGCACGCACGACACTGTTTAATTAATGCACCTCCCTCGCAACCGAAATGCGAGTGCATCCTTGAACGATCGCCTGGCCTGTTTAATTTGCTCCATCACTGAATGGCACACCAACAGCTTGATATAGCCAGGAAAGTTGACTTACTGCTGTCTGCTGGTGAGGTGGGATCATCCATGACTTATCTGATCACACACGATTTTCTTTTAGAAAAGGAAGAACATCGTGATAATATTTGAGAAAATGAAGAGCTAGCTAGGAAACATCCAGTTGGAGGGTGAGGAACCTGATCAAATTGTGCATGGGCATTACTCCAGCATCGTCAGTCTACCAGGCACAGTGCCGTCTAGGGGCAACAAAGCACGGGCTTCGATTCACTGATTCGGAAAACATGGACGCCAGGGAAATACAAATTCTGCACGTGGTTGGTCATTCAAAATATGGTTTAGACTTGGGATCGGCTCGCAACCAGAGAATGACAAAATGTCACTAACCTCTTTGCTGTAGAGAAGTCAAAATGACTCTCCACCTCTTGGCCAATTGCATATACACGAAAAGAAAAGAATATGAAACCCGGTAACCACTTGGATGGCCTATCATCAGCTCGATCTTGAGCTTTGGGAAGCAACCCAAAAAGGGCAAGACTAATGAGAGACACTAGTAAACATGACAAGTGTTTCAAAATGGGGATTGCGCACTTTAATCCTCGTCGTCGTTTGGGTGATCTGAAATGAGAGGAAGCGATGAATCTTAGCACAAGGAGACCATGACAGCCAACCTCTTTGATAAAATTAAGAAAGAAGCTAGGACGTACTTGGGCTCTGGCATGAGCAAAGTGATTTCGGGAGTTCTTACCAAACAGTGTATATGACTTATAAGGTGCTTTTCCCCTTTTCACATCCTTAAGGGTTGTATTTTCTCCCAATATATATTTAATGAAAGAGCACAATCTTATGCTAATTAATTATAATCTAGGAAAAGAAAGAGCTAGGAAAGAGGTCACATGTTTTGTTATCCTAATGAGCAAAAAAACACATCCTTTTGTTAAAGCTAGTATGTCCATGGGCGATCCTAGATGCATGATACGTACATACTCGTAGAGTCAAGGAGTAGCAATGAACTGGTGGCTACAGAAGAGGAGATTTACAATTGGTTGAATGGCGATGGAATGGTGGATGTGCAGATGCGTCGTCCATATATGCATGATCACGTGGAAGTGGAGACTGGCCAGTGGGTAATTTAAGTGTATACGTGGCCACCTTAATTACATGGTGGCTTAAGCTCCAGGTGGCCCGACTGATGCTGATGGGCACAAAATTAAGTGTATAAGCTTTTACTCCAGTTGATGATAAGTAATTATTAAGAGTAAGAAATAGTTAATTAAACATTTAAAGAAGCAGTTAAGCGGATGGATCGGTATAGGTTAGTGATCGAATGATCCAACGGGTAGAATTAATCGAAGGAAGGAAGGGCGATGAATCGGCCAACTAACTGATATCTGCCCGTCATCCTCCCAACTAACAACGGCCGCAGCCCGCAGGCAGGTTGATCGATGAGAGTCGAGAGTCGTCGTACGTCTTGTTGATTAGTACTCCCTCCGTTTCGAAATGCTTGACGCCGTTGACTTTTTTAAACATGTTTGACCGTTCGTCTTATTCAAAAAATTTAAGTAATTATTAATTCTTTTTCTATTATTTGATTCATTATTAAATATATTTTTATGTAGGCATATAATTTTACATATTTTATAAAAGTTTTTGAATAAGACGAACGGTCAAACATGTGCTAGAAAGTCAATGGTGTCAAACATTTCGAAATGGAGGGAGTATTTTTTTCTCTTTCAATTCTTCTCTTGTATGGATGGTTTGGTTTGTTGGCGGCCACAGCACAGCGCAGCTTAGCTTAGCTACACAACACACCCTTTGAATGAAGCAACAAGCTAGTAGAATTGAAGACACCTCCGAATCCGGCCGGCTCCAATTCCGATTCCAACCCCCACATCCCCATCCGTGCTCTCTCTTTGTTTCTTTCTAGATACTCTCTCTCAGAGAGGCAGAGTACAAGTGTATATATAAGGTTGCTGGAGTTGGATGGGTAGTGCAATAGGCCGCTTTATCATCATCTATCTCTTCTTCCAGTTCCAGCTCTCTCTCTCTCGTCTTATTGTTGGTCGTTGACAAGTTTTGGTTGGGCATGAGGATGAGGGAGAGCAACGAGGAGGAGAAGAAGAGCGTGTGCGTGATGGACGCGTCCGGCCCGCTCGGCCACGCCCTCGTCGCCCGTCTCCTCCGCCGAGGCTACACCGTCCACGCCGCCACCTACCCCCACCACCACCACCATCCAGAAGAAGAGTACCAGCAGCACCCCCGCCTGAAGCTGTTCCGCGCCGACCCCTTGGACTACCACGCCATCGCCGACGCCGTCCATGGCTGCTCCGGCCTCTTCGCCATCTTCAACACCCCTTCCTCCTCGCAATCGCAATCGCACTCCTGCTTCCTAGTACGTCTTTCTCTCTCTCCTCCTGTTCGATCGATTTAGCTCTACATACAAAATCATGCATCAAACCAAGCCTTTTCATTTTTTTTACTTACTTGTGCATATGTACATACATACATAAATCTGAGGATGATGATACTACGCAATCCTTAACAACTCAAGGTCAAGGATAGTACTACTAGTAGATGCATGATACTGGAAGAGAGCATGGCTAGGTTGGCACCGATCGAGCCGGCCATTAATTTGGCATGTCAAGTACAGTAGAGATGAGATGGTGCTGAGCTGGGTCTGCTGCCCTTTCATTAATGGGCAATGGCGCGCCTCATATCATCATCATCATCATCATCTATCTAGCTCCTTCTTCCTCCTTCCAGTTCCACAGTTCTAGTTTCAGCTAGCTGGCTCCGAGAAGAGGATGACCGATGACACTAATAACTGCACCTACCAACCAGCCTTTCCGCGTCAATCAATTAATGCCCCTGCCCTGCTTTGCATGTACACACTGCTCCTCCGGCGAACTACCGGCCGGAGTAGGAGCATGAGAATGACTTGGCTTGATTATGTATTATGTTAATCCTAACTGATTGAATTTACCAAAAAAAAAAAAACAGGATGAGGAGGAGGGTATGGTGGAGGCGGAGGTGCGAGCGGCGCACAACATTCTGGAGGCGTGCGCGCAGACGGACACCATGGAGAGGGTGGTCTTCAACTCCTCCGTCACCGCCGTCGTGTGGAGGCCTCAGCCGGAGGAGGACGATGACGCTGCCTTGCAATTGGACGAGAACACCTGGAGCGACCTCACCTTCTGCAGAAGATTCAAGGCACGTGTGCTCCCTTTTCCTCCTCCATCTTCCTTTCTTTTTATTTTCAATTATTAATAATACTCTACTGTACTAGTAGTACTTTTCTTTATTAGTATTACTGTATTATTATTCCACTCAAAATCTGCAATTCACTTGATTCGCATCATGCCGATCCTTTTATTATTATATTCTATCATATATGCGTGTCGTCACTGATCGATTCGATCAACTAGTGGCACAGCAGTACACCGCTCATTGATAACGCAATGGCAAATTAGTAATATTGGTACGGCAGTAGCGCTGGTCCAAGTAGCTGAACAAACTAGTTATTGCATGCACCACCCAACAACAACAAATGTTACCGAGTACTACACTATACTCATAAAAAAAATCGTTTAGAACAAAATTTAAGTCAAACCTTACAAATATAAATCATGAATAACTCTCAGTTTGTTGAGGTTGAAAATATAAAAATTATATGAATAGATTTGTCTTGAAAAATACTTTCATCAAAGTATACATATATCACTTTCAATAAATATTTTTATAGAAATAAGAAGTCAAAGTTGTGTTTTGGAGACCATGTCGCTGTCAAAAACGATTTTCCTTTACAAGTACGGAGGTTACTCTACTCATCAATATACTCCCTCCGTCCCATAATATAAGAAATTTTGAGTTTTTGTTTGCACTCTCTGATCACTCGTCTTATTCAAAAAAAATTTGGAATTATTATTTATTTTTTTGTGACTTACTTTATTATCCAAAGTATTTTAAGCACAACTTTTCGTTTTTTATATTTGCACAATTTTTTTTGAATAAGACAAGTGGTCAAATAATACAAGTAAAAACTTAAAATTCCTTATATCATGGGACAGAGGGAGTACTACACTACTCCCTCCGTCCCAAAATAAGTGCAGTTTTACACTATTCACGTTTAACGTTTGACCGTTCGTCTTATTTGAAAATTTTATATGATTAGTATTTTTATTGCTATTAGATGATAAAACATGACTAGTACTTTATGTGTGACTAAATATTTTTAAATTTTTCATAAATTTTTCAAATAAGACGGACGGTCAAATGTTGGGCACGGATTTTAGAACGGAGATAGTACATACTTGTACTATACCATATGGCCGGTCAATTCTACTCAGCTCAACCATATATGGCCTGGCTGGGTGGCTGGCGGCCGGTACCTTTCGCCATCACCAGAGCCACTAGTACATGAGTGACTACACCTTAATATTTAATCACTTCCCTTTTCGCCACCAATCCTCCTAGTGCTTGTATTAGTAGTACAAAAGTGTGCAAGCAATTCAATTTCGCTCACACAAAGATCACCGATATAAATAGGGTCATCTTAAACATCAAGGCTTTCCCTCTTACCAACCTCCCTCCCTCTTTGTATCGCAAACACTAATAGCAAAGCCTATCTAGAAGCAAGCATGCAAAGCAGCAGGTTCAACAACAAACCAAACCAAACCAAACCCTTGAGAGTAAAAGCAACAACAAGCTGCTACTACTAGCTAGTGTGGGTGGCTTCTGAATATGTCAACTCTTGCTTCGCCTGATAAGTGGAGTACAATCCAGGTGTCCAAGAGAAGAATTGGCAAGTCTTGACCGCAACAAAAGGTCCTCTTTCATTCCCAAACCAGCTGAGAGTGTGTGGCTGCGCCAAGAAGAAGAAGAGAAGAGGATGGACACGCATACGCATACGCATGCACGTCGAATGAATGAGTGCGACTCTTGAGCTGTTGGGATTAGGACACCTACGGAAAACGATCACACGTATCCCAGCCCACCCTTTTTCTGCTTCTCTTCATTATTATAATCACCTACTCCTTTGTTTACTAGATACGATATTCCTACATAAAAAAAGAGATAATCCATTGTATGCCACTGAGTTTGTCATAGGTCTACAATTTGCCACTGACTTTGTCACGTTCTATAATATGCCATCGATTTTTGCTTAACTTCTACGATTTACCACCGCCATCCGGTTAGTCTCCGTTAGTACTGTACACTTTCATCCAAATGACCAAAATACCCCTGAGACAAAAACTTTCAAATTTTGGATAAAAAATCTGAAATGTCAGACTTTAAGTTTTTGGACAAATTTTGAATGTTTACAATCTTATGTTTATAATATGGTATTTCAGAATTTTTGTCCACATTTTGGAAGTTTTATCCCAGGGGTATTTTGGTCATTTGGACAAAATTGTACAGTACTAACGGAGACTAACTGGACGGCAATGGTAAATCATAGAAGTTAAGTAAAAGTCGATGGTATATTATAGAACGTGACAAAGTCAGTGGCAAATCGTAGAGCTATGACAAACTCAGTGGCATATAATGGATTGTCTCTTAAAAAAAAAGAGGTAGTATCAGACTCCTTTAATAATTTACTTGTTCATTGGATCATGAAATTGACAGCCATCCAAGTAGCGGATTATAGCTTATTGATGAATTGTGTTAGGAAGAAGAAGAATTGCACAGTGAGTGAGAGTGACATTGTGTTTAAATCAATTGCAGCTGTGGCACGCTCTGGCCAAGACGCTATCGGAGAGGACGGCGTGGGCCCTGGCAATGGACAGAGGAGTAGACATGGTGGCCATCAACGCCGGCCTGCTCACCGGCCCCGGCCTCACCGCCGGCCACCCTTACCTCAAGGGTGCACCCGACATGTACGACCACGGCGTCCTCGTCACCGTCGACGTCGACTTCCTCGCCGACGCCCACATCGCCGCCTACGAGTGCCCCACCGCCTACGGACGCTACCTCTGCTTCAACAACGCCATCTGCCGCCCGGAGGACGCCGCCAAGCTCGCCCAGATGCTCATCTCCTCCGCCGCCGCGCCGCGACCCCCTGCGCCGCCGAGGTTCCTTCATCGTCTTCCTCTTCTTCGTCATTTAGATTAGATTAATTAATTAATTAATATGAATTAGTATCAATTGATTAATATGGACCTTTTTATTTGTTTGCAAATTGCAGTGATGAGCTCAAGGTGATCCCACAGAGGATCCACACAAAGAAGCTCAACAAACTCATGCTGGACTTCACCAGTGGCGTATACGGGGACATAAATTAAATTAAACTAGGGGATTTGCCTTCCTTTATTTTATATATCACACGTGCAACTAGACATGTACTACTCCTCTTGTATCTTCTTCTATTTCTTTTATTCTTTCTCCTCTAAAGGGAGGGAAATTTGGTTTGGTCAAATGTACATGTTGTACATGGCCAAGCTGCCACATGTATTCCATTCTTACAGAGGGTAAGATCATTTCAATGATTACTTATATACCAACAAACAAAATCCCTAGGTGATCAAACACTAGGAAAATATATTTGCAGCTGTGTTAACTCTCTATGCAAAGCCATTTTGTGATGTAGTCATGTTGAAGGGACGAGAAAGATATAGTTGCACATCAGTTTTAATGTATCCATCCATTATCATGGTTTAACCACAACTTTGACAAACATCAAATACCCTATCCAAAGAGGTCAAGATCACCAACCTTTAAACAAAAACCATGGGAAATAATAATAATAAAATCATGTTTGACATCTGACGGAGACCCTAGTCAGTCAGATACAGATAGCATTGTAAACGTCCCTCCTATCTCTCTGCCCTCTCTTGAGTCGCAACACAACATCACTCGTTGACAATATGTATTACAGTTCACGATTTCTCTTATCTTTCTGCCCTTAGTCCCAAAACAACACAACTCCTTGACAATTTGTACACGATTTTCTTGATGCATACGAATTCATAGACTAAAAGCACATGGCCAGCAAGGAAATGTTCCAGGTCCATCTTGTGAATCAATGAGGTGGGTCCGGAGAAGAGAAAATGACCACTCACATCTTTAGCGCATAGATGAAGAAAGAACAAAATAAACTAGACCGACAATCCCTACCAGCAATACTGTGAAGGGATAGGGACTCCGCTTCCAGTGACAGATATGAAACTAAATATCAACGATTAAGAGGCATATTCAAATCATTCATTTTTTTCTAATTTCATGCTAACTGACATCTTAAAGTAAGTACAGGTTGGTGTACAGAAACAACAAGACAAACTTTAACTGAGGAGCACATACAGAAGCCAGGAAGGTACTCTATATACTACTGCAACAGGAAGTACCCCGTGGATAAAATTTCAACTCACTAGGCACTCAGTGTCACAGAAGCAACACTTGACAGCTTGAACTTCTTAACTTTTTTCGAGTGCAATGGCTGAAAAAGAATTTCTGTATATTGTTTCACTGATATCTCTTTCCATTCAGAGGATGAAGTTCCTTCAGCACGATAATCTCGTGGTGAATACAATATTTGCACTCTTGACCGACCTGCAATGCAATAACAAAACGACCAGGTAAGGTAAATGTAGCAAGTCAATCAAGCTAATTATCTCATTTATTTATGACAACAGAATCATCTACTGCTACTGAATTATATAATTTACCTTTTATTTTACAAATATGAATTAGTGCAAGACATCACCTTTTATTTTACAAATATGAATTAGTGCAAGACATCAATAAGCAATTTCCGTGCATATCAGTTGATCTATTCTCATTTCTTATTTCATTTTGTACTAGCATAGCTTCCAGGAAACAAATGCATTTTTCTGACAACCTTAGAGTATTATTCGACCCATGTACGTTCACAGGAGTGCTTCGCAAACAGAATAACAAGAAGGTACAGTGCAGAAAAGTTACCAAAACCTCCAAACAGAGTTGATTTCTGGACTATGAATCGGCAAACTTTTGATCTCTTCAGACATTTCAAGGCCTGAATATCATCGTGCCTGCCTTTGAATTCAATGAATTCACCAAGAATATTCCTGTCCCCTTTGAGTTCCAACCTACACAAGGAAATATCAACTATAAAAGTTTGACCTCAGCCTCTACATCTTTGTGCAGAACTAACAGGTAACGGATGTTCTGTGATAGGCTGCGATTCGATTATCGGAATAAATTTTAGATTGCTTCTTGGCTGTTCGCTTTAAGTGTTCATGGCCATGTTCTTTACCTGTCCCACATAGGCGACGTGCTGAGAATGAAATGTAGATTTTGGAGTAACGAATCTTGCATGTCACCTTTGCTTCCACTGAATGCACCTTTAATCCATGTTGAAAGTCCACCTTTGGAATCTGCTTTAAGATCTTTCCATTGATCGTACAAGATAACTTCTGGTTGAAGAGTGATGGCATAGGAAGGCCTGGTGGAGCACTTGTTAGATAGTTAAAACTTAAAAAATAAAAAGACAAACAAAAAACAGAAAGAAAAATTCTGCAAGTACGATCACAAAGAACATAGCTCAATATGAAGAACTAACCTGCAGTTGGGATTTGGCAGTACAATCTTTCCAGTTATATGACCATCAGGCAGTTTTGCTCCCCTCTTCTCCAAGTACGATTGAAGATTGGCAGCCAGTCTATTGACTTGCAGTACCTACAGAACAAAATGTAAGAAACAATTAGCAAAACAAAATGCTCAACATGAGAAGGGCTATCAACTGTGCACGCTCAAACACTCAAAATCCCAAATCAGATTCCGACCTGATATGCACATATGTTTATGGTTTGGAAGACAATAATAGCAAGGGAGTAAGGGACTAAGCAGCATAAAGTTTACTGACAGAAGAATTCAACATGAAGAGTTTTCGTCACAAGACAGAATCTGTACACAGGTTAGAGTTTGTTGTAAGCCTCACTGACCAATGACAGTTAGCATCATTATAACTTACTTTGAAGTTGCTGTGGAAATGGAAATTTATAATCGGTACAGTTCCTTTTAATTATATAAACTTAAGGTTAGAAAAATATGCCATCAACTGTTATGTTTCTCACAACTATTCCAAATTTTCGGAACATAATAGTTATCATCTGCAACAAAGATCGAGAGAAAAGAAATTTGCCGAACGCTGAAATGTCTAAAAGAAGTTGCACCAAGCAAGATGACCATAATCTACCAAAATGTCAAACGGAGCCTAATTATGTATGTTGCCTTTGTTTTTTGTTTTTTCACCCAAGAGTATAGCACCGAATGAAAACAAGAGTTGCAATATACATGGTGCCTTACTGCAAGAGGCAATGGCAATGGGTCATAATGAGGCAGTGAAGGAAATAAATGACATACCGGGTTTGGGATAACACCATGCTTGTTCTTCTTATCACTGGGGCAAGTCCAGTTGCCATCCTTATCGACCTCAACAAAACCAGAAATGTTGTGGATAGCCACTACCATGACCTCCCTGTTGAGGAAAGAAGGTGAGAAGTTGGTTGCACAAAGCAATATCCCCACAAGTAATTGAACATGGATGATACAAACGCACACATTAATGATCCATGAATTGTAGTGCGGTATGCAAATTACAGTGAAGGCCAGTGTGGATTGGTCGATTCTAGTGTTGTGAACTTGTGAGGTGCAGTAGAGAGGTGGTACAAATCCGTACATAGAATTGAAGAAATCTGTAATAAGCAGGGGATGTAGGGTAGAGGTACTAATGGGGCGGAAGACGGGGGGACGAAAGGAAGGACGTACCTGTTGGTAAGGAGGACGAGGTCGACATGCTGGCGCTCGCCGGCGTCGGGGTCGGGGATGCGGAGGCCGACGAAGCAGCGGGCGGAGTAGAGCTTCTCGAGCCTGGAGGGAGGGAGATAGGGGATTTAGGGCATCGGGGGAGGATTAGGGGAGGGGGCGGGAGACGGAACCTGGAGGCGAGGGCGAAGCAGAGGTCGGAGTGGGCGGAATCGAGGTCGGCGAGGTGCGCGGGGTCGTCGGAGTCGGCGAAGAAGACGCGGCGGATGATCTTGTACGCCAACAGCCCGCACAGAATCTCCACCCACATCTCTCTCGATCTCTCTCTGCTTCTCTGCAGCGATCGATCGACGAACTCGACGCCTGATGCCTCTGAGCTCGGAATCGGATTTGCCTTGCCCCGGATCGCACTCGCACTCGCAGGAGGAAAGGAATGAAAGAAAGAAAGAAATCTCCAGTCTTCACTTGAGTTTGTCTGTCGTCCTCCTCTGCTTTAGCTTAGCCACTAAGCATGGACTCTGCCAAAAGTTGAAAGAAAGGAATACTGCCCCATGGGCTGGCCTCGCCTTATGCCTATCTGCTGGGCCTCATACCAATGGCCCACTTATCTTTTTCGAACGGTCCAATGGCCCAGTTATCAAACTCCGTAAACTTACACTTTTTTGTCTCCTTCCTCGACAACTTCAGAATTCTTTTTTTTTTTTTTGAACGGACAACTTCAGAATTCAGATTCATGTTTTACTTGCATCTGTGTTGGTACTACTGTCAACCAACGAATCATCTGTTGGTGTCAAAAAAAAATCATCTGTTATAGTCAAGAAATACCGTTTTATATTATACACTTGGTATGGATCCAAAATTTGGGGACACAAAAATATCACATTCAGTAATATATAAGAACCTTAATTTGGAGCTGGATAGTTGCTTGTGCTCTCAAACACTTCACTAATGGTGGTGGTGTCTTTGATAATAAGACAATTGGGGCGACTAGCTGTATTTCGACAGGCTGAGTGATCAAATGGACCATAATAAGGCCCAAGTTGAAAGACAAAAATCTTATGCAACTGCATTTATTCATACACCTCACATATAAAACATCAACAACTATATTTTTTTTATTCCTCAAAGTTGCCATAACTTGGAAGCCACAAAATTCCTTAGTTTTAGAGTTTAGAATTCAGGTTTGTGTTGGCATGCCATTATTTTAAATAAGAAATCATCAAGCAAAATAAAACCTTGAAGAAGAATAGTACGTGTGTCAAACATGGGGCCATGAGTTAAAGAGTATGATGTAATCGTGTTTAGTGTTGGGCATCAACGTCAGGCAAAAGCACTGATCGTATCGATCATCACCAGCTCAACATGCGTATAACATTAGAGTAGTGGTCTGCATGCCATAATTATTAAGGGACGAAACAGCCCAGCACGTCCATTGTTGCCATACTGGACCTGGATATATCATCGATGGATCGATACTATCATATAGGAGTAGCTCATACTAACAAATAGGACGAGAGATCATTTGTCTGTGTGCATTGCAGCATGCTCCATCTCTCAACTTAAAACTGTACGCTCCGGCCGGCCAACAAAATGCAGCAAGCATCCAAGCCCAAGTATGTGTGCATCTCCCTGCATTGCATTTGCACTGTGTTAATTTTAAGGCATCTAATACTAGCTTTATTACTGCTGCTGCTGCATCAATAGTCAGTCGTCAGATATGTATTCATGTCTAGTATTTGATTCTCTTAATTGGAGTAACAAGATGGATAGATGGTGATCAAAGCTAAATCGTCTGCAGGGCTTCCTCATCGGTGCCTAGAGTTGCTAGGCTGCAGCAGGTCAGGCCATCATCAGCTGCTTCCACCTCCAACAATGCGCATGCGAATGCGAATGCGCTGCTCGACAAATCTTCCATGGACATACCCAAGCCAGAACGACGATCCTTCAAGGCATCCCGGGCCACAACTCCCGATGTACGTTTCCCCAACTAACTTGGATCAAATGCATTCTCATCGATCGATCAACGAATTCAGTTTTTATAGATTTCTTAGATTGATCGGTTGATATGTGGTGGATCGAAGAGAATGCAGAAAGCGCGCGGAGCGAATGCGAGGCCCGCGGCGGCGTCGGCGGCGGAGCAGCTGCTGCAGGCGCAGCTGAACGCGGTGCAGGAGGACCTCAAGAACGCGCGGGAACACCTGGCCGTCATCGACAGGGACAAGGCCCAGCTCCTCCACGACCTCTCCCTCGCCCGCCGCCTCGCCGATGACGCCCACGCCGCTCAGAGCGCCGCCGAGGAGGCCCTCGACCTCGAGCGCTTCAAGTCCATCGAGCGTGAGCAGCTCGCCATCGACCTGGCGCAGACGAAAGAACGCGACTGGAACGCCAGGTGCCACGCCATCGACCTGCGCCGCGCCGAGCTCGCCGCCGAGCTCGGCAGGGTCAAGGACGAGCTGGCACTGGCCGTCGAGGCCACGAACACGGCCAGGCAGATCGCCGACGCCAACGCCGACAAGGCGGCGACCCTGGCGGCGGAGGTGTCCCGCCTCCAGTCGGAGCTGGAGACGAAAGCAGAGGAGGCCACGGCGATCGTCGCCAAGCTGGAGTCCGAGGCCTCCGGGCTACGAGCCGAGCTCCAGAACGCAGAGGCGTCTCGGAAGGAGGACGTGGGCAGAGCAGAGCAGCTTCTCCATGGCCTCAAGGTTGACATCGCCTACGCCAAGAGGGCAGAGGCCGATGCCAACCTCGCCGCCCAGGAGTGGAAGACCAAGGCAGAGTCGCTTCAAGCTCGCCTCCACGAACTCTCCTCTCTCAACAAATCCAACGAGGACTCGCTCCAGTCACTGACGAGCAGCTTCGACGAATGCAAATCCATGCTGCAGCACGAGCAATCCCAGGTCGTCCAGCTCAAAGAGAAGGTGTCATCCTTGGAGAAGGAAGCGCGCGAGTACAAGGAGTGCTTCTTGGAGACCAACAGGCGCCTCGACGTTGCAACCAAGGAGTCGCATCAGCTGCAGGCCACCATTGATCGCTTGACCTCTCAACATAAGCTGCTCAACGAAGCACATCAGCAGGTTGTCACCAACGAGAAGACGGTGAACTCGCAGATCAGCCTGCTGTCTCAAGACAAGATCAGGATTGAGCAGGAGCTCGATGGTGCCAGAGATGAGAGGGATAAGGCCAAGAAGGCCGTCGAAGATTTAGCGGCTGCGCTGCGCGAAGTGTCATCGGAAGCAAGAGAAGCCAAGGAACGTGTACTGGCAAAACAGACAGAGCTGGACAGTGCACAGCTTCAGATATCCGAGCTCAAGGCAGAGATGAAGAATGCACAGGACAGGTACCAGCTAATGCTTGATGAATCCAAGAGCGAGGTTGAATGCATCAGCAAGACAGTTGAGAAGCTGGGTTCAGAAGCCAAGATTTCCAACGACGAATGGGCATCGAAAGAGGCCGGGTTTGTAGAAATGATCAGGAGATCAGAAGAAGAAATGAGCTCTATCAAGTCAGAGATGAGCAGTCTAATGGTGTCACTTGGAGCTGCAGAGAAGCAAGTGCAGGAGCTCAAGGCAGAGAGAACCCAGCTGCTTGATAAACTGAAACAATCTGAACTCACCAATTCAGAAGGTAGTAGCATCTCATCTACTGGCGTTCAACAAACAGCTGATGAGTCCGAGAGCACAGTAGGCCTCAAGGACCTTGTGTCAAGAAAGGAGAAGGAAGTGCTTGCTCTGAATGATGAGGTCACTGACCTTCGTCTCAGAGAGACAGCTGCCTTGGCAAAGGCCAACGAGCTCTCAAAGCTACTAGCAGAGGCAACTGCGAAGAAAGCCGAAGAAGAAGAGGCGGCAAAAGGCACAGAGAAATCCAAGGTACTACTGATGAAGCTGGAAATGGACAAGTTGCTGGGATCACTGAAAGCAGCAGAGCAAGAAGCAAATGCTGCCAAGGATGACAAGGCTCAGCTGCAGGCCAAGCTGAGGCTGCTCGAGTCCAAGATGACCGAGGCCAACCTGACCGCCGAAGAAGAGAAAATCAGCAGCCTAAGGTTGAAGGAGACGCTTGCGGAGAAGGAGGAGGAGCTACTGAGCATTGCACGAGAGTACGACGGCCTGCGGACGAGAGAGGCCGCTGCGCAAGCGAAGATCGATGAGCTCTCTTCACTGGTTGCAGAGGCCTCCACAGCTAGGAAGCTAGCAGGAGAGTACTCGGCTAATGGAGTGGCGGCTATCAGGAGCCCAGAGAAGCAGCACAACATGTTCCGGAAGATGATCTGCTCGCCCATGGACAATGTGCGAGATGATGTGAACAGCAGCAACAGGAGAACCCAAGAGGATGAGATTAAGCACGTCGAAGTGGAGACGGTGATCATGAAGCAGCAGCAGCAGCAGGTGATAGTGAAGCATGGAAAGGAGGAGGCTTTAGCAATGGAGGTGAAGACTCTTGAGAACAGCAAGATCATAGAAGATGACATAAGCAAGCATAGGGACGACGATGATAATGAGTCGAGCGACGATGAGGAGATCGAGTCGCAGGGAGACGATGCAGCTGTAGAGCAGATGAATGGACCGCTGATTCATGGGCCGACGTCGTCTTTCAACAAGGAGCAGCACAACCAGCATAAGAAGAAGAAGGCTTTGCTGAAGAAATTCGGGAGCCTGCTCAAGAAGAAAGCTCATTTCACCAAGTTGAACAGCCATGCCAAACTAGTATCTTAAACTCGAATTCCATGTACACCCTATGCTAACAACCCGTTCTTTAATTTCCTCGCAACTACTCCATATATGTTCAGGTTATTGGTTTTTGGTACTAGTGTTAGGCTCGTTAATTTGTACCCATTGAGTGATTTTGTCACCGAACCATAAACGTACAGAAGCAACATGTATCCATATGAAATGTCTGAAACTCTGAATCCAGAAATCACCCATTTTGCTGTTAAATAAATATCACAGCTGCTAGTACTATCTACTCCCACTCCTTTCAAAAAAAAAAAAAGTACTATCTACTCCCTCAGTATGTAGGCATGATAGTTGGACATGCTAGCAGAATTGAAATCTAAAACCGTTGATATTCATCATGGAGTATACTAGTACTATAATAACAGAAGGGAAGAGAAGATAAGAAAAGAGGTCCCCCAGTTTGTTACCGTTGGATTGGATGCATCAGGCGGCTGCAGGCTCCAGTAGTCGTCGTCCTGGTCAAAGATTTCAGCGAGGCGGATGAGGGTGTGCTTTGAAAAGTCAATAATTAATTTGTCTTTCCCATCATCATCATCATCATCATTATCATATCGATAGATCTGGGCCACTGGGAATGATACAGATGCAGATACATGGGTGGTGGTCCGTCTCCCTCCACTCCTGTCCTCCTGCAGCCTGCAGGATGGATTGGATTAATCGTCTTCATCAGATTCTGGAGTACTCCTAGTAGTAATAGCTTAGCAGTAGCAATATGTAGATAGATACTCCCTCTCTCCCAAAATAATTAGAATACAGAAATGTCTTACATGTCCAGATTCGTTGTATAAGAAATGTCTCGTTTAGTCAAGGCAAAAGGAGTACATACTTGTATTATTGATAATTGTGGGTTGCCAAACAAACAACATACTACCAGGCTACCAGCAGGCGCTCCACCAGCTCGGATAGAGGCCGGTTTGTGGACTGGAAGCACATCACTATCATAATCATCATCTTCTCTAGTATATGTGCTGTGCCTGCCTCTTGCCATATTCTCCCCGCTTTTCTTTTGCAAATTGCAAAGAACACGCCGATTATATCCCACAAGAACAAAGTGACCAAAAAAAATACTTACAAAGAAAATGAAAAACAAGGTACATGAGTGATGGTGACAGCCACTTTGTATAAGAAGAGCATTTTAGCTTAGCCAGTCAAGTGGTGCCAGCCAGATCAACAGAGGGTTAATCTGCTCGCCACACGCAGTACGCTCTAACCTGTGAATGTGAAGAATTCGATCCAGATTTGATTTGACCAGATCCAGAATCAGCAAGCAATATAATGAAGCACTACAAATAAAGGTTGCTGGCCCATTTCCACGTCAGCCGTCCACGGCCCCCACGCAAATATATGTCCCTTAAAGTAAACTGGAATTTGCCACGTCATTTACTTGACCACAGAAATGTCTTACGTCCTGTAATTGCCCATATTTTCGGCTGACCCCGGAAAGCTATGCAAGGATTATTTATTCTTCTTCTCCACACGGACACGCCAAGCATTAGCAACATCCATTTGCTTACACAAATACCGCATCACCAAATGAATATATCCCTTCTACTTCTACGACGAGGCAAACAGCTAGTACTGCTTTACATTTTTTATTAAAAAAAATTGTACCACGTCTGCCAAATTTATCTTCACGAATACAAAGACAGTGTAACGCTTCTAAGCTATCCGGCATGATTGGCACGCCTGCTAACCAACACAAGCCTTCAAAAACACTAGAGTTACAGCTGGCTAATTACTTGTCACTCGTGTCACCCTGGTATTTAACTTGTTACCCTGAAGCAAATATGCTTGGATACAGACCAGAAACAGCAGGAAAGTATGGTGCAATGGTGTAGTTGATATGGCAAATGCAATGTCTTTAATTTCTTCAAAATAAGTGGAGAAATACCAGTATTGCATTAGAACAGGTAAAGAGAATTGGAAAGGTTACTTATGTGCAGCATGAGATTCCCTGAATCCGGAGTATAAGGGACCAAAAGCTGTAAAAGAAAGCCATCCAGAGATTCAAATTTTCATCCTTGAAAGTATTATGCAACAATACCACAATGTAGCAACGGTATTGCTTTCTGGAAGCTGCCCTAGCTTCGACAAGCAAGCATGGCATGGTCATACACCTTGTTCCTTTTCAGAAAAACTATCATGCCATTACCATGAAATTTGATAATGATAGCAATAATACTCTTTAACTTACAAAATTTGATAATGATTGCAATAATACTCTTTAACTTACAAAGGTATGAGGTGCACAAAGAATACTGATTGCCTATATATAGAGAACAACACGAACCACCCTTAAGTTATTCCCTACCTTATCATTACAAGGCCAGGATTCACAAGGAGATGTCAAATTAATCCTAGAACAGAGGAATAGCAGACTATAATAAGCCATATAACTCAAAAGGCTAGAACCTAGAAGAAAATTAAGATAACCCAGGAACCCTCACTTGCAAAAGCAACAGCATTTCTGTGATGCACAGAATAATACACATCAACCACACCATTTCAAGAAATATCAAATTTATCTAGAATTTTTTTTTTTGCACATTGAAAGTTTCAATCAGAGGATATATTATTGGTAGTGTGTTGCATAACTTTTGGGTCCATCACACATTGTAGGTACACAAGAAAATGAATCAGTAGCATACAAGAGCCAAAGAGTATATCAGTGTATCCCCATTCGTACAAAAAGGTATATGGACATTTTTGGATGCTAATAACTGGGACCAAAAAGGTATATATATCCCTGGCAGAAACCAGTAACCAATACTTTTCAACCATGGATATGCAACCAACTAACCAAGCTTATCAAGCTCCATGGATGCATGAAAAGACTAGCATGATTCACATTGTGGCATTTCCCAAATTCGAAAGTAACATTGCTGCGGTATCTATCACAATGTAAAGATATACATCACACACTTAGGGATAAGGAATATTAATTCCATATTACTGTAAAGATATATGAGTATATCTGGCAAGCGCTCAAAAAGTGATAGCGATAACAATGATGTACTAAACCTCAACTCTCATCTGATAGGTGTTGGTACAAATAAGACAGAGTTGCTGATCTCCTGTCAAGCTGATGTCTAAAAGTTAGCTTCCCCCTAGGAAAGAAAAAGGTAGGGCAAACATTCTGCTCAAGAGTAGGTAAACCAAACATCACTCGTAAGCAAAATAACAGTGAGAAAGGGCTAATCTTTAATGAACTAAAGTTTTACAATTACATGTTTCAAGCCTAATCACTCAAGAGTCTAAACTACAACATGCCCAGTTTTTGCTGTCCAGGTTTTTGCAGCTAAGAGAAGTGAATGAATTAAAAACTTTCCCAGTTATACAATTACAAATATATGAGCAACCACCTTATAGACTGACTGATATAATGACTGACTAATCACACAAGCAGTAAGTGAGAGCAACAAATAGTGGTGTCCGAAGCTGCAACCCACCTGCGCCCATCTCCGGGGCAGCGACCAATTCACCTCACAGTAGCTACAACCCTAGCGTCAAATGTTACCCGGCTGTGGCCTTCACGGGAGCTTTGTGCTGCGCTGCGGCGAGCGATGTGCACTACATCTCTCTCCACCTTGGGCTCAGAATTGGCAAGAACCCGGAGGGCGAGAGCAGCCCTGACGGCGACTGCGGGAACCAGAGGCCAGGCGACGGCGGAGCCATGGGCCCTGGACCCAGGATCCCAGTGCCCGGCAGCGGCGACAGCGCGGGGAAGTTGGGCGTGAGTGGCCCCGGGTGCTGGAAGCCCGGCGATAGCAGCGGGTAGGGCGACCTGGGCGTGGGCGAGAGCAGGTTGAGAAAGCCGCTCGGCGAGGGGAGTATCCCTGGCGACGGCACCGGCGGCGGGGGTGGGGGATGAGGGTGGTGCGGAGGGGCCTGTTGTCCCGTAGCAGCAGCGGCGGCAGCGGCAGCGGCGGCGGCGGCGCCTGGCGGGGTGGCGCTGAAGAGGGAGTTCTCGAGGATGCGCATGTAGGCGGTGACCGGTGAGTCAGCCCAGACGGGGGGACCAGGCATAGGCATGGGCATGGGCTGCGGCGGCGGTGGGCGGTGGAAGGCGGGGTTGTGGTTAGGGTTGGGGATCTGGTGGTTGTGGACGGGAGGGGGCCGCGCGACGGGGGTGGAGATGGGAGGCGGGCGGATCTTCTGAAGGCGCATGGATGGGGGCTTGGGCTGCTGGTGCTGCGGCGGCAGCGGGCGGTGCGGGTGGTGCTGGTGCTGTGGCTGCGGCGGCGAGGCGGGGAGGGGGTCCCCGCGGTGAGCTGCTGGACTATGTCGCGGAACTGGTTCTTGCTGATGTTGTAGACCTGCGGCTGCGGCTGCGGCGGGCGTGACGGCGGCTGCGGCTGCGGCGGCGGTGGCGTGGCCTTGCGGATGTTGCGGCCGAGCTTGTTGACCCCGAGATGCGGGTTGCTGTTGCTGCTGCTGCTGCTGCTGCGATCCATGGCGGTGGACGGGGGACGGAATCGGCGGCGGGGAGCAGCAGGGCGGGGCGATTGGGCGCGGCGGCGAAGCTAATCTCAGGCCGGGGAGGAAGGGGAGGGCATGGAGGCGGCGGATTGGTGGGGTTGGCGTCGAGGGCGGAGCTAGAGGAAGCCGGGATGCACACGGAAGGGGAAGGAGAAGGGGAAGTGAGCCGCAAAACTGCAAGTGCAACTTGTTTTTTCTTTTCTTGACTTTTGGGTCACCACCACTAATCCAGGCAGCCAGCGGCCGAGGGCAACAGTGCAGTGCAGCGGCAAACGGGACGAGAGTGACGGCAAGCGAATCTACTACTACTACAGTACTACTGATCCCTATTTGCTCCCACGAAATTGCTATACGTCCGACCCATCCATTGGACTGGTGTATGTATAAGCATAATTTCAGTGATTGGTTGCATGACTCGGTCGGAAACAAATCGTACGGCTCGGTCGTACATATAGCAAGATTCTTGCTCCCATTTCCTGTGTCCATTGCTGGCTGCTCTTCTCAGTCTCAACTTCTCGCTCTTTCACAAGAAAAAAAGAACAACTTCTCCATATCCAATTTGCAGTAATAATCTCATCACCTCATGAATTTACAGTCTCTGCAAGATAAAGGAGACAAAGAGATTAAAGTAAAATGTATAAAGGGTAATCCAGCTTATTTAGACAAGTCACTTTACTTTAAAAATACACATTTAAATTACTAATGTAAATAAAAAGAGTCATTTATCCATCTAACTATCTATGAGCATACCTTGTACTCATGGCATATTTTGTAGGATTAAAAAATTGCATCTAGAATTGTGTAGAAAACCCCTTTGTATTTTTTTCCTTCGCACAAAACTGTCAATTAATAATACACGAAATTAGTGGAACCAAATCATTTCACTTGTGTTTGTTTTGACGAGTTTTGGTTCTCAATCCTCTCTTTCTTGCCAGCAAACCCTAGCAGCTTTCATTTTCTTCATGTTTTCTTTCACTCATTTACATTACTAGACCTTGAAATTACATTGCTAGGTCTGCACATTTCTGAAAGTAATTTATGGAGTTAAATTGCACCACAAAATACACCAGACCGAAGTACTGTATTTATCTAAAAAAAAGGACTCAAGTATTGAACAAACATCGCCATAGGTGATAGGATCGGATGTGCCTTCTTCTTCTTATTCAGTTTATTCGGTGAGACTTAACACGGGTGCTTATCTTAATTTACTCAAACGTTAACCAAAACTCACGTACGAACTGCGGCATCAGCAAGCAGGGAGGGAGCTAGAGGGCACTCCACTTCAACGCGCTTCAGATATCAATGCCTGCAATTGCAATAGCGTGTCCAGATGACCACATATTATCCTCCGCGTTCTGAATATGGAATCCAAGACCTACTAAACACAGTCATAGCTACTACTAATAGCCATTGACCAACAACGATGCTAACAATCATCAAGTCCTGCTTCTTCAGGTCAAAAATAAATCTAGTACAGTACAAGAGTATCTGTATATGCATACAAGGTGCATAATGATTTTGATAGTAATGATTATTGAGACATCTTGATATTGTATCAAATTAAGGGAAATGATACTGCTTCTTTACTGAACGTAGTCGTTATACTGAGAATGAGGTAAAACTTCAGTCTTTTTTCTGGACCTTTGCAGAAAGCCCCAAACGACATGTTCTACCGACATAAGGAACTACTCCTTCCGTCCTAAAAAAACCCAACCTAATTCATAAGCTAATCTAAACGCCAAGCTATGGAGATCGGTTCTACTTACTTATGAAATAGAGTTGAACAAGCTAGACAAATTAATAATTTCTCGAGATACCTGCTTTGCTTATATAATTTCCTTTTTGTGTAAAAGAAACATTCTTTCTTACATCAACCGATTAAGTTGACTTGGGCCAGCTGTTGCATGCACATCCAGCAAATTATTCCATGTCTTCTTCTGAACTTTTTTTTTTTTTGAGAAACGTCTTCTTCTGAACTCAACATTTTTTTCCTTGCGATAACACCGAACTTGTGGAAAACTGCAGGAATAACAAGCTTTTGTGAAGACATAGTAGGGTTTATTTATGAACAGGAAATTTGTGAAGACGTAATTAGCAGGGAAACTAAGCTGATGTTGGCAGGGCAACGCCAAGCGAAAGCAAGGAAACTAAAGCCAAACAAGACAAAATGACAGTCAACGACGATGCATGTCGTTTTTGCTCCTCAAGTACTATAATACACTTCCCCTCAAAAACAAAAATACTATAATATTCCTCCCGTTTTATATTATAAATCGTTTAAACTTTTTTCTTATCAATCTTCCTTAAGTTTAACTAAATTTATAAAAAAAAGCAAATCATTTACTTCAAATTAATTTCACTAAATCTGTTATTTCATTAAATTACTTCAAATTAATTACTCCATTGTCACGCCCCGAGCTAGTCCCGACTGGAATTAGCCCGTGACGCTCTAAATTAACCTGTTAATCGATACCAGTCCCAGGAAACAGTGCTGGTATCACAGGAAGATAGAATATCACAGCAACAGAGGTCTCTTTATTATAGAGTAGGAGTACAGTCATGTTGGGCTGCGGACAGATCCCGAGCTTACAACTGCATTACAAAAGGGAAACGGAAGCCGGGACTTGGACCAAACAACACAGGCGCGACTTGGGAACTAGGCCGAAACCCTAAAACTCATCGTAACCGGCTTGCTCCTGGAAGAACTCCTCATCAGCAGGATCCGCTTCATCTTTATCAGCAACTGGGGGGATATTTATATAGAGCAAGGGTGAGTACGGGAGTACTCAGCAAGCTAGGGGAAATAAGTGTTTAATGCAGGCTTCAAGGAAAGGCTGTTGTTTTCGTAATTGATTTTATTTGAACTCTTTTCTAAAAACATCTAGGTGAGTGCTTCTCAAACGACACGGTTGAGACAGTGCGTCCCGTCCGGTCGGAGTATGTGCAATGTATCAATCTTTAGATCTTAAAACAAGGTTGGCACCCGGCCAACAGCTTTTCAAACGGCCACCCGGGCCTAGCTGATCCCGTCAGCTGCTGATTTTTCAAACATCGAACCCTTTTTCACAACAGTAATTTCACAAGCAGTTGTCAAACAAAACTACGCTAGGAATCACCTCACATCCGCCCATGACCGTGGGCACGGCTGTTCGAACAGTTTGTTAACCTCTGCAGAGGGGGTACACTTTACCCACACGACATTACTAATCCGGATCACCCAGCCCGTGGGGATCAGCCACGTCGGGAGACCTCCAAGCTTTCATGACAAGGCATTTCCAAAGCCGACACAGGCTTACCATATGCCGACGAGAGGGGTCCCAGACCAACAACAGGTTAGGTCCCAGACCATACTGTGCCAGGAAGCCTAGGGGGTCCTCTCCGACACCACCCCGGCGAATCCACATGTCTCTCGGCATCATGGCTCCCCTGATAAGCTAGTTACTCAGCCAGGGGTGTCCCATTCCACCCATGTGGTCGTACTTGTCCTATGTTCGGATGAAATTCCAAGGAATCGGTCCTTAAGTGCGGGAGCGGGAAAACCGTACACCCGGTACGTTCCCCGGTCCGCGGTTTTAGAAATTCATTTAGTTCGCAAGCACCGACCTAGGTGTCGGGTTTTCCAAGTCTTTTGTAAAACCCAAGTTTTACCCAAGTTGTTTCTCAGATTTTAAGTTTGAAGGTGACCGTCGATACTCGCACAGAGTGCACGAATATCGAGGCGCAACTGGGTGGTTACAAGGGGACATGGTATAACAATTAAAAAAGGAAGGATCAAATGCAACAAATTAGGCAGGTCCGCCAATCTGCCTTGCAGACGGAACAACAGATTAAGTGCGATCCTATCAATGCATAATATTTTGCAAGCAATATAATTAAATTTCAAATATAGGCTCAAGATGTTCAAAGGTGGCTTGCCTTGCTCGAGATCTGGAGCTTGATCCTCGAAATCCTCGCACTGCGGGTCTTCGGGCTCCGGAACTACACGCGAAATGGGACAACTCAACAAACGGCGAAAATAAAGCCCTATTAATGACCTCTAAGCGTGCCATTAGATAGATCTCGAGATTTGGGGAATTTTGGAAGTTGAACGGAGTCAAACGGATTTACGGTAGGGAAGATATTGAATTTCTAAGATTATTGGATTTTTGGTCTAAAGGAAAAGGATTTAATTAAATCCTTTTTGGAAAAGAAAGAAAAGAAAAAGGGAGAGGGAGGGAATATAGACTTCCCTCGGGCGGCTAGGGCGCGGCCCGAGAGAAAGGGCGGCTCGGCCGAGCTTAACGGGCCGGCCGGCCCAAGAAGGTGGCCCAAGGCGGCCCAAGACGCGCGCGCGCGGAGGAAGGATAGAGAGTCTGGTGGACCGGGCTCACCACGCGCGGTCAGCGGCTCGGCTCACCGTGCGGAGGGAGCACGCGGCGCGGCGCTAGGGTGAAGGATGGACGTGGTGCACGCACGTGGTTCGCGGTGGACGCAGGTGTGGCGGGCCCACGCGCAGCCTCACGGCTCGCGGTGGAACGCGCGCACGGGGAGGGACTGACCGGGGTCGGCTCGACCCGGTCTAGGCTGAGCTGGCGCCGACGTGGCGCCTACGTGGCTGCCACGCGGGCCGGCGGGAGGTAGACGACGACGCCGGCCGGAACGGACGGCGGTCGACAGCGGCGAGCGACGGAGCGAACCACGGCGATACGGGCAAAAGCGAGCACACCGGGCGGTTGCACGTGACGAGGGGAGACGAACCAACGGCTCGGATTTGCTGGGGGTTGCTCGACGGCGGCGGATTGCGGCGGAGGCAACCGGCGGCGGGAGAAGGGGGAAACGGCGACGAGGTCACTAGGGGCTAATTCCCGGCGGCGAGAGCATCTACGCGGTTACGGGAATCCGATGCTAGCGTCGGATTGGGCGGAACTACGCCGAGCGAGGCCGGCGACGAGCGGCGCTTCCGAGCTCGGGCGGCGACGGCGGCGAGCACACGGCGAGCGACGGCAACGGTCGGGGCGGCGCCGGCTAACTTCGGGGAGACTACTCGAGCTACTACCGAAAGCTAAGGGGGGGGAGATGGAGCGAGGAGGAAGAACGGAGGGAGGCACTACCGTGCGGGACGGGCGCGGTGACGAGAGGCCGACGGCGCGGGAGTGATCTCTCCGGCCTCGGGCCGAGGAAGAGGAAAAAGAGGGCGCGCCCGGAGTCCCCTTCCGCGTCCACGAACGCACCGGCTCTCCCGGCGCTTGGCGATGGACGGCGGAGGCGGGACAGAGCACGGGAGCGGCAACAATGGCACGGAGGCGAATGGAAGAGGAAGGGAAATGGGAGGCTGGGGTTTAAATGGGCGGCAATGTCGGTTTGGGAACCGACTTGCGCGGTCAAGGGCGCGAGCTGGCGCTCGGCGGTCGCGGCCAAAGCGGCGACAGGGAGGATGACGCCGACGAGGAGGAAAAAGGGGAAAAGGAGGGGGAGAAAGGGGGCTTGCCCCTTTGCCGATTCGGGAAAAAGGGGGAGGTGAGCGGGGGCGACGCGGCAGAGGGAGGAGGGATGCTGCCTCCGTCCCTTGGCGGCTTGCGCGCGGAGTGGCGGGGCCAGGCGATGACGACGGCGATGACGGCGGGGCGGTTTGGAGCAGAGCGGCGACACTGGCGACAGGCGCGTGCAGAGGCTGACGGCGGCGGCGAACGGGCGGTCGGCCACCACGGCACGCGCACGCGGCTTGCAACGGGAGGCGCGGCGGATGGAGTGGCGCGGCTCGGGCACGCGCGCTGGCTCGCGGGGCCATGCGGCTGCGCGGCTGCAGGCGGCAGGGCAGCGGGACCGGGCAGCGCAGACGCGACGCGACACGGGCGGCAACCACGCGGGCGCGCGCGCGAACGAGCGCGGGGAGCGGCAGCGAGGGAGCGGAGAGGGAAGACTCGGCTCGGCGCGGGCGGCTCACGCGCTTGCGCGCGCGGCGCGCGGGCGAGGCGGAGCGGAGCTGAGCGGGGGGGGGGGGGGGGGAATCGGAGCGCGCCGGGGAGGTGAGGGGGCGAGAGAGAGAGAGAGAGCGAGGGCGCCCGGGAGAGAGGGGGCCGGGGGAGAGATGGGCCGAGCGGGATTCGACCCATCGACCTTGGGGGAGGCAAAATGGACTTTTGCGGAGGAATTTGATTTGGAAGGATTTGGATTCGGAATTGAACTCGACGATAGATCGGGGATTGAGATCTTGAGATGGCACGGACACTAGACAACAAGCGAAGAAACAAATTTCGAAATTAGGGTTTTTAGGAGATAATTTTCCCGCTAGGCGCCACGACGGAACGGGCGCTACATCCATCCATCCGTTTCAGGTTATAAAATGTTTTGACTTTGGTCAAAAAATCAAATTGTTTCAAGTTTAACCAAGTTTGTATAAAAAATAGTAATATTTTCGATCCAAGATAAATCTATTATAAAAATATATTTAATTATTAATTTAATAAAAACTAATTTGGTAGTGTAAATATTACTATATTTGTCTCTAAACTTAATCAAATTTAAAGCAGTTTGACATCTATAACCTAAAACGGAGGGGGCATTTAGATAGTATGCTTATTTTGTGTTGAAAATGTCACTATGTTTTTGATAAATTTAGTCTTAAAGAATTTTGACTTAAAGATAAGTTAAAACGATTTGTAATATTAAATGGAGGGAAAATCTTTTAATCTCCATCTCCCTGTATTGCTTCGTTGATTTAATGATTTCTTCTTCCTTCGGATAGTTTCCACATTCCAGTATCAGGAATGGTCCAATTGGGCCAAGAAAGAAATTGCTCTGCAAATAGTAATATGCCAGGCAGCTAACAGGAATTGAAGTTCAGACCTTGTCTGAACTTCTTCTCCTTCTTTCGAAAAACGAAGGGTAATTGATGCTTTCACATAAACATGCAACTGAACGAAGGGTAATGGAACATTGCATATTTGCATTGCATTGCATTATTCAGTTGTAACATTCAAAAGGCATTCAGAAGAACTGAAACATGAAGCGAAACACAGAAGGCATTATATTGCAGTAGACTGAATCAATGTGTCTGTCCAGATGAAAAGAAAAAGAAGAAGCTACTATAGTAGCAATGTTGTTTTTGTTGCTTGGATGCGAAGTGTATCACTGGTAGCAATGTCATTCTATTCCTCATCCTCCTCCACCTCGTGGAAGCGGAGATGCTTCCCCTCCGGCACCGGCAGGCCCCTCAGAACCATGGTGCAGTTCTCCACCGGCACATGCGCCACGTCCTCCCTCTCCATCTCGCCGTCGCTGTCGTAGATGAACCTGGTGTGCTTCCCCTGAAACGCAGGCAGCCCAGCCTTCTTGTCCTCCTCCTCCTCATCGTCAAACACAGACATCTTGCTCATCCCCTCACACAGATCATCAAAGCACTCATCATCATCATCATCTTCTGTTAGCCACTCCTCCTCCTCCTCCTCTGGGTCTTGATCAGTGAACGTGTCCTCGTCGCCCTTCTCGGAGCTGGCATTGACCTGGATTGACCAAGCCGATGAGCTGTCGTCGTCCGGTGATCTGTCGGTGCTGCTGCTGTCCTGGAACGAGAGGGACGACGACGAGAGCACCGAGGCAGCATTGGACAGGTCCGATTTCCCGGGGGAGTCGTCGAACACCAGTGCACGGTTGCACTCTCCAAGGTGGTTCTCCTCCGCCTGAGCTGGAGGTGGCGGCAGGGCATCTGCAATGACCTGCACCACAGACAGAGGGACCAAATCAGCTCAAGACCAATTGCAACAATAACTACACATGGATAGCTTCACAAACACAAACACAAACATTTGGGCAAGTAAGTTTATGCATGTACTACTGTATGTACTGCAAACACATGACAAATGTCCTTGTGCAGAGTTGGTGTTACAGGTCATGTAAGAAGAGCGATAAGCATCTTCTGGATCCTTTTGTCCAATCTATTTTGAATGCAGCAAGCCAGGAAACCAAACATTACTATCTTAGAACAATCCAACAGAATAGCACCCAGTGTAGAATCAATACCAGACTGAAGATATAGACAAATTGAATTTCATGTACAACACCTGACAAATGTCCTTGTCAAATCTGCATTACGTAATGCAGAGGTCGTGTTACAGGTAATGTAAGCGCAGCAATAAGCAAATACAGTACCATCTTCTGAATCCTTGGGTCTAATATATTTGGAATGGGCAGCAAGTGAAGAAACGAAATGTTATCCTAGAAAATGATTGCTGCGACGCATGGTTAATCGAACAGAATTCGCCTAATGTTGGATGTCCTACAGCTAGAACAGCAATTTCGCGCATAACAAAACACACACACATATAGATTGGATTGGATTGGATTATTTGAAGAAAATGATTGCACGCATGATTGATTGGTGGAACAGAAGCAAAGGAAACCATATTGGGAAGCAAGCAAGGGAGGAGGAATGGGGGGGGGGGGGGGCAAAATTAGGTTAATGTTTACCTGCAGCTTGGAAAGCAACTCCTCCTCGAGGACGCATGGCACCGTCATGGTGAAGGCGTGAGGGGCGGCGGCGGTGAGGTGCGGCGTGTTGGCCGGCGTGGGGGCGAGGAGGTGGGCGGGCGACCTGGCGAGACCGATGGGCGCGTGGATGCGGAGGATGTTGGGGGAGGGAGGAGCGGCTGCGGCGCAGGAGGAGGAGGAGGAGGCGTCGTGGTGGACCTTCTGGAGGAGCGTCTTGACCTGGCCGCGGAGGAGTGCCTCGCCGGATCCGGGGGTGCGGCGGGAGGCCCTGGTGGGGCGGGCCTTGGCGGCGGTGGAGGCCGGCGTGCGGAGGCCCGAGGAGGCGAGGCCGACGATGGGGGAGTCGTTGGTGATGTCGTGCAGGGCGGGGCGCGGCGGGTGGGCCGTGGACGTGGCGTCGGGGGCGGCGGCGGAGGCCTTGGCCATGGAGCGGGTGATCCTCCTGCTGGAGAGGGGCGTCTCCATGCTTGGCTGCTTGCTGCTGCGTATGAGGAGGAGGAGGAGGCGCGAGACTGACAAGAGAAGAAGAGAGAGAGAGAGAGACGGACGGACGGACGGAGGCGGCGGCTGCTGCTGCTGCTGCTTTAAAGTTTAAACGCAAGTGCGTAGCCGTTCGTTCGTTCGTGGGTGGTGGAGTACAACGGTCGGTAATATGACCGTTGTCCCGTTCCGCGGCGCCGCTCGCCTCGCCTCCCGTCTCCGTCTACACGCCACCTACTAGCCGTTGCAACTAGGCCCACATACGTACTACGGCCCAGTCCATCTAGCACATGTACGCCTTCAACCTCAACCCTGGCCTGCTAGTCTCTACGGGCTGACACCAAGGCCGCATATAACTATTTGCCACCCTTACATTTAGCGTTTAACTATTTTATCATCCATTTGTTAATGAAACACGTGAGCTGAGTAAATAGTTGTGTTAAACATGGATAACTGAAATTGTGGGGACATACAAGTAGGAGTATCTATTTTATTCTTTAAGCTTTACATTACAATTAATCCATTCTAAACATAATTATACTATCATTTTTAATATTTTTTTGTGTTCACGATAAAGTGTGAAATTATATCTACTATATTTATTATCTAAAAAAATATCTACTATATTTCAAAAACACTAAATATAATTATTATTTTACATTTTCTAAAAAAAATGCTAGCCACTACACTAGTTGGAATAATTAATTAACTGTATGTTAGGGTGCGCAAAACGCGCCGTCGATCCTAGAATAACCAAAGCGCAAAACACTAGTAAAACGCACATGCCTTTGCTATGGGTAAATGCCCAGTCTATTCACTGGAATCCAAATAAAATATCAAAAAATGTCATCAATAACTAATTTGTAAAACAAGTTAAAAAGTTGGTGGTGGTAAGCTGGTGGCAAAGATGTCACCTATCATTATTATTATCTTTTATAGTATAGGAATTAACATGCATGCAACCCTTTTAAAAATTGAGATATAAAAGATCATAGGGTACACCCGGTTGATAGCAAAATCACCAAATAATTGAATCGAATCGAATCGAACGACCGAAGGAAATACGAGTATATATATGAACTGGAAAATGTGTCAGTGTGCACGTACGTACAAACTCATCATCGATCATCTAGAAGCAGGATCAACTGGTGGAATAATGCATGATTGAGATTACACAGTACTAGTAAATAAATTAGTCGATGCGCACGCCTGAACCAGTGGCGTATGTGGCGCTGGAACTGGATCTGCTGTTGATGACACGCTTGGACTCGCCCCATGCGTGGAAGTTGTCTTGCTCCGACTCGTCGCACTCCGGGAAGACGACGCCGGTGCCGTTGTAGCGCACCGTGTCGTAGCACGCGCTGTACGTCAGGTGCCGCGACCGGAACCGCCGCATGGAGCCGCGCTTCGCCGGCGTCATCACGGCCACCTCCGACGTCATCAGGCCCATGGCGGCGCAGTGGTCGTCGTCAGTACCACCGGTGACGACGAGGTCGGAGAAGACGGCGGTGAAGGGCGCGTAGGCGTAGTCGACCTTGTGCCTGCCGCCGTCGGTGGCCCAGGCGGAGCCGTCCCAGATGGTGGCGTAGACGGACATGGGCTTGGCGGGGTAGTCGCCGGAGGAGCAGCGAACGAGCTCGCGGATGGGGATGGCGTCGATGTAGAAGATGACGGCGGCGGGGGTCCAGGCGATGGCGTACGAGTGCGGGGCGGCGGTGGGGTCGAAGGGGAGGAGGTAGCGCTCCTCGCGGCCGCGCCCGGTGCTGCCGTTGCCGTACATGTTGGTCTGGACGTGCCATGCGTGGCCTCGCCGGTTGCCCAACAGCTCGAAGTCCAGCTCGTCGTGCTGCCCCGGGAACACGTCGCCATTGGACAGCTGCATGCATTGTATTCAAACATAAATTAATTTGTGATGTTTTTACTGGTCTCTAAAATCAACCCAAGGAAATACGTACAGTAGTACGTACTAGCAAACACGCACACGTAGAATAGGTGTAGCATACAGCCGTCACTTTTGAAAAAAAAAATCCCTCACTAAAGACACAAAATCTGAGTATACACATTATACATACTCCCTCCATCCTAAAACGTCTAGACATGCCTTATATTTGTAGTTCTACAATGCCCTAAAACATCTCATTCCAGTCTAGATTGCTATATTTTGGACGGATGTAATACCAACTGACATAATAAATATCATCGAAAATTTAGAAATTTTTTTAAAGTAAAAATCAGCTATTTTTAAGAGTATAAATCCGTTATACAAATAAATACAAACACATATGTATACTTTATACATATGTATAATATTATTGGAAGTATATTTTTTGAAAAAAATTTGGTGATATTTATTTGTTATGCGTACAAGATATATTTGTGTGGTATGTATACTAGTATATACATGTATTCTAGTATATATTTGTTTGCTTTTTGGCTATAAAATTGAAGAGGGGGAAAAAGGAAAAGGTGTGACAGGTACATGTCGCCTACCATTGAGGGTGAATAATCAATCTCCTCCACCCATCGAGAAGAAAAGAAGATTGGGCGGCGATTTTTGATTGATGGAGGCCGGGCATGGGCTAGCTACTATACCCTATTGCATTGCCCGATGTATATACTCCATATGCATAATATGGCCAATGAGTATAATGGATGGATATGCTGGGTGTGGCGGCATATATGCATATGTGCGCGCGTGCAATGCGCACTCACCTACTAATCGAGCGCGACAATAACAAACAAATAGGTACCTCAGCTATATGCGTGTAGTATGCACTCCCTCTATCTTAAAATAATCTAATCCGACATCATTTGAGTAGTGTTTTATGGGGTAGAGAAAATACGTGATAATTATCAACTCAAAATTCACATTAAAAAATATGTTAATTAGTAGGCTCAGCTTTATAACTTTGCGTTTCAGACAAATGTTTTGCAGGCTTATTTTCTTTGTAAATTATATACTATAGTCTCCGCGTTGTTGCTATGTAATTCTAAAAAAATATACTATAGTTGTTTGAAAATGTCAATTAATTATGTCCGGACAGAGTATAAGATAACTAGCTATAGGTTTATTAATATCCACCACCCATCTGTCGACCTTTCTCTATTGATATACATATTGCCTTTTGCCTTTGTCATCGCCATCCAAATTTCAAACCCACACAATTGCTTAGAATTTATGAACCAACTAACTTAACACGTACCAACTTAACGGACCAATTAATTAAGATGAGATGAGTGCACGGCTGCTACGTACGTCGATCTTTTGCAGGTGGACGTCGTCAACAAGATAACACCATGCTCGCTCGCAAAAGATCGATCGAAGTTGCAAAAAGAAATTAAATTGTCAACAAGATAACAGCGAGGGTACGTAGCTCCACCGTCCAAATTCATAATCGTTACAACGTACGTACTCCACACAAATTAAATTGGTTATGAGCTAGATTGAAGCACAAATTAGTTTGGGCACAAACAAATTAATTGATCATTAACTTTTAGTTAGCACTGATCAATTAATCGATCGATCGATCCACATACGTACGGTACGTATGAATTAACTTGGAGATAGCGATATCATAATTTAGAAAATTGAAGAAGGTTGGTATAAGACATACGTAGAAGGCGACGACGACGCCGGCGGTGTAGTCATGAGGAAGCTTGATGGAAGCACTGAAGAATCCATGGTGGTACGCCGACTTGGACACGAATCCAGAACCTGCGGCATATATATTTATCTCTAATTGATCGATGGACTGATCGATTGATTCTATACATGCTAGCTAGCAATAAATCAAATTAATTAGTATTCATAAATAAACAAATTACCGGTGAAGCGGTCGAGTTTGAGGAGGACGGTGCGGGCGTGAGGCGAGGGAACGAGGTTGTCCCCTCCGAAGAGCGGCATGTAGGCGGCGTCGAACCGCACCGGCGACATGTCCACCGCCGCCGCCGCCCAGCTCATCAATAACATACAGGATATCACAAGCAGGCCGCTCCATGAGCTCGTCGTCATCTTCGAGCCCTATACTATAGCTCTATCTAGCGCTAGCAAACTCTCAAACTGATCGATCAACGTAACTACTGCTCTGCTATAAATCGATCTGACCGTCGCGTCGTTGCATATATAATAATATGCAGAAAAGAAAGCAAACTGACTACTGGTACTCCATAAAGCTAAGCAAGGTGAACTTTTCGCAAGTCGTTCGTCTCCTGTGCGCGCGCATGTCTCCATCAACATATTTATATATTCAGCTCATTCCTCTCTCTCTCTCTCTCTCTTGTGTTTTGCGTAGACAGTTTAAGGCTTGGAAATTTATGGGCAAGCTTTGGTACAAGCAACGAGATACCTGCGCGTGGGATCACTTTACATCTACTCCTACTCAGTTTACATCGCTCCTACTCTGCTTCTGCTTCCTCCAAAAATATTATGGATAATCCAAAGTGTCTTATATTTTGGAGAGAATCCCTTATATGCCACTGAAAATTGGTCTGATCTCTTATATACCATTGAAAATTGGCTATTCCCTTATATATCATTGATCCAAATTTGCACATCCTCTCATTCCACTCCCGTCAGTTGACCGTGTATTGACCGTTAACTCTCAAGTAAAAAGGACATATTTGCCCTCTCTGAGTTGTTAGGCATGTCCTATACTCAGAAGGGTAAATAAGTCTTTTTTCCTTGAGAATTAATGGTCAATACACGGTCAACTGACGGGAGTGGAATGAGAGGATGTGCAAATTTGGATCAATGGTATATAAGGGAATAGCCAATTTTCAGTGGCATATAAGGGATCAGACCAATTTTCAGTAGTATATAAGGGATTATCTCTATATTTTGGGATGAAAATAGTATCCATATATCATCCAGAAATAATAATAATAAATCTATTTATAGTATTATCTTACTGAAAGAAAGCTACGAAAGAAAGCTAGCTATGTAAAATTCGATGAAAAACTTTCCAATATAACTACACAATAAATTATTGTAATTACATTGTAATAACTAGCATGTAACTAGAATATAATTTATACTAACTTGCACTTATATATCACAAATTCCCACTAGCACACAAATAGTTACCACGACGAGAGGAGAACCATGTGTCCCAGCTTCAATTCCCGTCTAGCCCACGCGAATCTTACCTCCCCTCTCTCGTCATCACGTATCTTGAAGTATGTCCAATGGATGAAAATTCAAATGTTTAGGGGAGAATAACTGTCGAATTTTTTTTCTTTTGCAAATCTAAAAATCTATACAATTTGCGTGATAAATCTAGATCATAACTCTATACCAAGGTATATTAATAATATAGTTGTAAAGATATTACAATATGTATTTTATAGAATTAATCCATTGTAGGCTAATGAATAAATTGTGTCCCTTCCTTGTTGTTGGTGGCTATGCACTTCTTCCATCCAAAATAAGGCTATTACTACACTCAAGTTGTCTCGAAATGAAACTATCTCTCCACCTACCCCTCATATCTTTGTTTAATTTCTCATTACCTACTTTCTCTTCCCAACTAAATTACAACCTTTTCCTAGTCATTTTCACCTACGTGGTACTTCTTCAATTCACATAAAAACCTCCAGAAATGCTTACAGTTGTAACAAGTAGTTGTAGCTTGTATTGAAGCAAAGACCAGATTTAATCCATTATAAAAAAAAAGAACTATAATAATTATGTTATATTTTGAACTAATGTGATTATATTTCCAAATAAATTAATTTCGCTCCGAACAAATTGCATGGGAAACATGGTGATGAATAGTATTATTTTTGCAGAGGACGATAAATGCATTTATCTAGTATAAATATATATATAGCGGATTTGGTATATGGCATACATACATACATACATACATACATACATACATACATACATACATACATACATACATACATACATACATACATACATACATACATATATATATATATATATAGTGAGCATAGGCCAACTTGGTTAAGGTTTCTTGTGTGGTGAAACTTGTCTACTCAAGTTTAGTCATAGATATGGGTGGTTATATTTAGGGCTAATTATTTGTTCAACGATAAATGATATACCCATGGACCACGAGGCGTATATTGACTTGATCGATCTTAAATTATGCCATAGTATTTTTTAAAAAAATATATACAGTATATAGCTTGTCCACATCGTGTACGTGTGCCTTCCTGCCGGGAGGCGCGATCGACCTGGAAAGCAAATTATTCGCTGGCTAGCTACTGCCAATAATTCTACAATTAACGGGAACGTCAGCCCGGCTGCGCTAACACTCTTTCTCTGTAATTTTTAATTTTATATCAAGTAGCCGATGGAGCGATGGTCTTACATGTGTACTCCATGTCACGATAGCTAGTACACACGCACGCACCGGCCAAGTGTTGATTAATTAGTCCATCCGCGAGTGATTAGGATGTTTTACCCGTCCACAATTCAACTTGATCAGGACGATGAGCTGAGGTCACCATGCATTAATATTGCATATACGACTCCCAACCTGCAGCGCATGCATGCCGTCCTCTTGTTAATTAGTCGTCTCTGAGTAGTTGGTACCTGGCTAGCTACTTCGCACCCCGGCTGACGAACATTCATAATATAATAACTTAAGCCTACAAAAATGTGGAATGAAAATGTTATGGTGAAAATATCACTGAAAAAGTATCCTCTACTATTATTATTGAGGAAAATCCAAGAAATACTATTGATAAGCGTCTAACTTTTTAAAAATACCATCAATAAGTGTGAGTTTCATAATATGCCATCGTATCAGTAACTTTGTCACAGAAATATCATTACTGTTAGGTTATGTTAATTAGCAGACATTCGTTAAATGCTATAGGCTGAATGTTGCATTCAACGGGACTGGATGGAAGGAATTCTAACAGCGATGACATTTATAGGAAAAAGTAGCTTGCATGATGACAGTTTATAGAACTCGCGTTGCCAATGTATTTATTGAATTTGACGCTTGTCAATAACATTCCTTGGATTTTCTCTATTATTTATCATCCGACAAAATCACCAGGCAAGGATATCCAAAGTCTCAAAATAGCCGGTTTTGTTCGTAAGCATAGAAGAAAAATCACTAGGCAAGGATATCCAAAGTCTCAAATATAGCCGGTTTTATTCGTAAGCATAGAGGAAAAGTTCAAGCATGCATTGGAGTAGGGCACTTCACATCTCTGTCAGTGCTTTGTGCAAGGAATCACTGCAATTATCAAGAAAAATATAAGAACTCTTTAATAATAATTATGATATGTTAATTGAATGTAATTGTATGAGAAGAATCAACACTAACAGTATCGCCTTTTTACATTGCTTTTGAACGGGCGAAAATGCTTTTTTTTTCTTTTTGTGACTACCGTACGTCGTCCCTTGTGAGGAGAAGAATATTGAGATGGACGGTGCTGATGAGCCCTGTAGAATAATATTGGGCCCCTTAATTGAATAGGCTGGCCCATTGGGCTGACGACTCCCACAACAGGCCTACATCTGTATAAGGTCACTCACGCGCACAACAATTGCTGTGTGCACCACAACGACGAAAGAAGAAGAATCCATTTAGCTCCCTCGTACTATCTCATTAGATTATTTAACCCCAAACTATCTTATTCTCAATTTACCTTTCAAGTGTTAGAAAATTGTTCGTTTTACTATTTAATAATATTATTTTTCCTCTTTATATAAGTCGTATTTTAAGCTGATTTATCTAGGTGACACCATTATCAAAGTTAAAATTATTCTTTAACTTTTGCTTGAACTTTAAAATATCAATGTGTAAGTTAATCTTAGGAGTTTTCAACCTTGTTAACCAGTACTAACAAATTCTTTAAAAGCGTTTAAGATGTAGGATTAGTTAAGTTGTACATAATGGATAATGCATATATCATCCTACTAAATTTCAGTGCAGTTCCAAATACAATTAATAGATAAAGAAATAAAGAGAAATACCATTAGAAAGTAAATTAACTGTATTTAATAGTTAATGGTGCAAAATAAGAAAAAAAATAATTCAAAGGTGAGTGTTCTGGTAAAATATTTTGACGGACTTCTTTAAACAAGAAAGAAAGAGAAAACGTGAATTACAGGGTAATATGAAATATCCTACCTGGTGTAGACGGTACGGAGAGGGCAAGTAGGAGTTTCGTACCGGTAGTAATGTCAAAGACAGCACTACTAATTGCGCACGCTCTCTCACTAAAAAAAAAGTTCACTGTGATTAATTAAACTAGAATCGGCAGAACATACTATACCTCTCCGTCCGAATTAAATTTAAAAAATATACTGTTGATTTTATTTTTTTTATTCGGAATGTAAACCGTCGATTCCGCATAACCGTTAACCGCGAGACCGACTGAACCATCCAGCGATACCGACTGCCATGGCGATTGAAAATTATTAATTAGTGATTAATTAATTATTAGTTACTTACAAATTATTATTGATTAATACTCACTCCAGCTACTTTTGATAGTCATATTTCGTCGTCTTGGCACACAGAGCAAGAATAAGCAATTTTACTTATCATCCATTTAAACATGCTACCAGTCATTCCTCGTAAACAAGCGATTTATTAATATTTGCATTTCTCGATGCTCATGTAGCCAATCTTGTGTTAAAGATTCATTAATATTTACATTTTTCGATGCTCATGTAGCAAATCTTGTGTTGAAGAATGGAGAGTCACGCATTAAATCCGAGAAAGTCATTAAGATGATATGATAGATTGTTGAATTGAAATATGCCTATCAAAAATAAATTTTTCAGATTTGAAAATATGACTATCAAAAGTAGATAGAGGGGTAGTTAATTAGAGTAATTAATCACAAATTAAGCAGCACCTTTGGACAAGACGTTCGGTCTCGCTGATTATTTATGAGAGATCGTTCGGTCTCATTATTACGTCACGTGAGACCGCACAGTCTCGCGCTATCGCCACGTCGTCACGCCACGTCCTTTTTCACATACCGTTTATGCGAGATCGACGGTATATTCCTGCTAAAAAAATTTATCCCTGATATTTTTGAGATAAAAATAAATCAATAATATATTTTCAAATTTAATTTCTCACCGTCCCACTTCTGTATCTGTAATGGATGGATTACTCCAATTCGTGCGTGTGGCCTTTAATTTGGTCAGATTTGTGTATGGTGTCAGTAAGTAGGTCCGAGTGGAAAGGATCATCCGCATCCGGGCTCCGGCCAAATGGGATGA